TGTGATTTTGCTAAAAGGTGCCCGCTAAGTTTTCGCGTCTTGCTAGATGTCAGCAGAGAGCCCAGGCCGGAACCTATCCGTGGATGGGTGGATTCCTTGTTTTGTGTGAAAACCAGGGGGGGAGGGTAGGGAGGGGAGATTTTTTCACTTCGATTAGAGTTTCATGTCAGAAAGCAGTGCAAAGTCAGAGAATTTTTCCTGTGGCCTAGGCCAGTCAAATCAATGCGGTGACTCATAATCATAACCAAGAGAGAATGAGGTACCTCATTCTCTCTTGTCATAACACTACTAGCAGAGCCTGGGGGAAGTGATTGACTAGTCATAAGCTTCATGGGTGGGGAGGGTCAGTAGTTGCTACTTGGACTTGGCCGTCTGTAGACTCAGTACAGGAATCTTGTATGAAATCCGGACAGATATTTATTTATTTATTCATTATTTCTTTCCTCTTTTCTTCTAGATCATTGGATAACGCAACTCTAGAGTTTTCATTCCCTTAGATATCATACATTGTAGTATATTGGCTCATATACAATGCGCTCAAAGTAAGGTTATTTTACGCTTCACTTCAAGACTAAAAAGCGAAATAAAAAATTTTCTGCGCGGAGAAATAAATGGCCACGCCCGAACAAAATCTTTTCAGCTAGAAATACGAGTATCTTAGAACTTCGAAAGGCTAAAGTTAATAATAAAAATAATACTAATAATGATAATAATAATAATAATAATAATAACAATAATATTATTATATTATTATTATTGCTATTGTTAGTATTATAATTATTATTATTATTATTATTATTATTAATATTATTATTAATATTATTATTATTATTATTATTATTATTTAAAACTCTGGACCGCCTGCAAGAGTTACTGATCGCATCTGAGCATCTGAGCTATTGCTATTGTTAGTATTATAATTATTATTATTATTATTATTATTAATATTATTATTAATATTATTATTATTATTATTATTATTATTATTTAAAACTCTGGACCGCCTGCAAGAGTTACTGATCGCATCTGAGCATCTGAGCCGCATGGAATGTATTTGGGAAATCGTTATTGACACCGCGATTGTATTTTTTATGATTTATATAATTCTTAATGTTATATAGTGCTTAATCTTTACTTGAACGATTTCTGCAAATTATGTACATATTTATAAAGATGAATAAAATTTATTTATTATTAAAATAATAATAATAATAATAATAATAATAATAATAATAATAATGATAATATTGCCTCTGCCAGCTACTACTCACCAAGCGTTCGTAGGCACTCGTCGTAACAGGTCTGCATTGTACTTATCTGTAAACCACAGTTAGATAAAATCATCAACAAGTGTAACAACATGTGTATGTTGTTCTTGAAAATATCGATACCCCCCCCCCCC